ATATATATATATATATATATATATATATATATATATATTTAAAATGTTACAATGTTACAATGTTAAAATGTTACTTCTAACCCTAACCCTAACCCAGATTATTTCTTTGTAGATGTTCATGCAACTGACCTGCAACTATTTTCTCTAGAATTTTTGAGATGAAAGTTAGATTAGATATAGGTCTGTAGTTGGCCAGAATTTCTGAATCAAGGTCAGACTTCTTAAGTAAAGATTTAATTACAGTCAAAGACATTTATAAACAATATAACCATCTATAAACGTGGTCAATAGTCCTGATAGAAAAATAGAAGCTACACCTATGCCTCGACCAATTGTTCTAGGAACATGAAAATTTAAATAACTAGGTGAAGTGGATTAATTTAACAAAATCTTCCTGTTGTAGCCAGATTTCTGTCAGACAGTATACAGAGCCTTGTGAAAGTATTCGGCTCCCTTGAACTTTTCAACCTTTTGCCACATTTCAGGCTTCAAACATAAAGATATAAAATTTTAACTTTTTATGAAGAATCAACAACAAGTGGGACACAATCGTGAAGTGGAATGAAATTTATTGGATGTATCAAACTTTTTTAACGAATAAAAAACTGAAAAGTGGGGCGTGCAACATTATTGGGCTCCTTTACTTTCAGAGCAGCAAACTCAGTCCAGAAGTTCAGTGAGGATCTATGAATGATCCAATGTTGTCCCAAATGACTGATGATGATAAATAGAACCCACCTGTGTGTAATCAAGTCTCTGTATAAATGCACCTGCTCTGTGATAGTCTCAGGGTTCTTTTCAAAGCACAGAGAGCATCATGAAGACCAAGGAACGCACCAGGCAGGTCCGAGAAACTGTTGTGGAGAAGTTTAAAGACAGATTTGGATACAAAAAGATTTCCCAAGCTTTAAACATCCCAAGGAGCACTGTGCAAGCAATCATATTGAAATGGAAGGAGTATGAGACCACTGCAAATCTACCAAGACCCGGCCGTCCCTCTAAACTTTCATCTGGAACAAGGAGAAGACTGATCAGAGATGCAGCCAAGAGGCCCATGATCACTCTGGATGAACTGCAGAGATCTACAGCTGAGGTGGGAGAGTCTGTCCATAGGACAACAATCAGTCGTACACTGCACAAATCTGGTCTTTATGGAAGAGTGGCAAGAAGAAAGCTATTTCTCAAAGATATCCATAAAAAGTGTTTAAAGTTTGACACAAGCACCTGGGAGACACCAAACATGTGGAAGAAGGTGCTCTGGTCACATGAAACCAGAATCCAACTGTTTGGACACAATGCAAAACGATATATTTGGTGTAAAAGCAACACAGCTCATCACCCTGAACACACCATCCCCACTGTCAAACATGGTGGTGGCAGCATCATGGTTTGGGCCTGCTTTTCGTCAGCAGGGACAGGGAAGATGGTCAGAATTGATGGGAAGATGGATGGAGCCAAATACAGGACCATTCTGGAAGAAAACCAGTTTGAGTCTGCAAGAGACCTGAGACTGGGACGGAGATTTATCTTCCAACAAGACAATGATCCAAAACATAAAGACACATCTACAATGGAATGGTTCACAAATAAACGTATCCAGGTGTTGGAATGGCCAAGTCAAAGTCCAGACCTGAATCCAATCGAGAACCTGTGGAAAGAGCTGAAGACTGCTGTTCACAAACGCTCTCCATCCAACCTCACTGAGCTCCAGCTGTTCTGCAGGAAGAATGGGCAGAACTTCAGTGTCTCCATGTTCAAAACTGATGGAGACAAACCCCAAGAGACTTGCAGCTGGAACTGCAGCAAGAGGCGGAGCTACAAAGTATTAACGCAGGGGGGCCCAATAATATTGCACGCCCCACTTTTCAGTTTTTTATTTGTTAAAAAAGGTTGACACATCCAATAAATTTCATTCCACTTCACGATTGTGTCCCACTTGTTGTTGATTCTTCACAAAAAATTAAAATTTTATATCTTTATGTTTGAAACCTGAAATGTGGCAAAAGGTTGAAAAGTTCAAGGGGCCCAATACTTTCACAAGGCTCTGTATATCAATATGATGATCAGTTATCAGGTCATTAACTAACAGGGATTTAGAGGAAAGAGATCTGATGTTCAATAGTCCAGACTTAATGATTTTATTCTTTTGTTCTAGTAAAGTTTGTTTATTTTAATCAGATTTTTATGGTTTATATTATTAGAGCTGATTTTTGGTTCATTTAATTTGAGCCGTGGGCGAGTTGACACTGTTTCAATGGGGTGTGGGTGGGTAACAGAGGAGGAGCAGCAGAGAGGTGTGGAGGACTACAACTCTGCTTCCTGGACTGGTTTCTAGACTGGATCGTTAATTGTTAATAATCTGGATGTCCAACTGGATCAAGTTTTTAGACAGAAGTGTTGCTCCACTTAAGGTGGGATGGATTCCATCTCTCCGCTTCAGACCGTGTTTCCCCCAGAATGCACTCCAGTTGTCTACAAATCCTACGTTGTTTTCAGAACACCACCTGGACGCCCAGTGGTTGAAAGCCGACATACGGCTAAACATGTTGTCACTGGACAGGTTGGAGAGGGGGGCGGAGAAAACTACGGAGTCTGACATGGTTTTTGCAAAGTTACACACAGAAGCAACATTAATTCTAGTGATGTCTGATTTGTGTAGCCGAGTGTCATTTTCACCAACATGAATAATAATTTTACTGTATTTCTCCTTAGATTTAGCCAATAGTTTCTGGTGGGATTCAATGTCGCCTGCTCTGGCCCCTGGAATGTATTCGACTGTGGTTTGGGTCACAGGTGCCACATTTTGGACTATGGAGCTGCCAATGTCCAGGGTCTGCTCCTCAGGTGTCTCACTAAGCACGGAAAACCAATTTGAAACTTGAACGGGTCGGCGGTTCACCGACGGCTTAGTTTTAGTTTTTTTTTTTCTTTGGACCGTCACCCAGTGGGGCCGATGTTCAGGACAGCTAAGTAAAAGAAATGGATTTGAGACGTGATTTTGAATGGGAGAAGAATCATTTGAAATGACGTTCGAAATGTGAACGGGTTGATGGTGAACTGAGGGTTTAGTTTTAGCATTAGGCTTACTTTGGGCCAACACCGATAGGTTATAGGCTTGTTTAGATGCAGCTCAGCTTTCCTTGTTCAACGGGCTTTATAATAAAATTTGGTGCACATACTCAAATGGTTGGTATAATGAGCTCTGACCTGGCAGTGCCCCACTAAAATGTGACACCACCAGACACCATATTTCTGGGTTTGAAAATGGGCTAGGAGAGAATTTAATTAGTCTTAGTTTAATTAGACTCTTGCCCATCATACATGCATTGTGGACATTTTGGCTTATATTGCCAAAGTGCAAAAGAAACAAAAAGTTATAAATTTATATATGTATTTAAGTTTTTTTTTACATATATTTGACATAAAGAGAACGAAAGAAAGAAGGAAGTAAAAAATGGACTGTACTTATATAGCAACTTTTTATCTTATCGAGACACTCAAAGTTCTTTACAACAATCTGTGCCTCATTTACCCATTCATACAGCTCTATACTAGATCTATACAAAGACTAACCAGAGCTTCATCACATTCATACACTGACGAGACACACATTGGAGACAATGGGGGGGTTCAGTGTCTTGCCCAGGGACACTTCAGCATGTGACTGCTGGTGGATTCAAACCCTCAACTCTTGCATTGGAGGACGACTGCTCTAACCACTCAGCCACAGCCGCCCCGGAAAAAAAAGAAAGAAAGAAACAGACATATCTTCATATGTCTGTTTCCCTGAACTTTAATTTAATGTGTGACCTCTTAGTGAGGATGTCCTGCTGTGGATGTGTGTTGATGGGAAGTGGGAGGGCAGAACTCCTGGCTGCTTGAAGCCTCAGATAGAGCTCAGGATCAGAGCTGGAGGAAGACGTCTCAGTGTGCATGTTTCACACAATAAAACCTGCAGCAGTAAAGCTTCTCAAGGAGCCTGCTCTGTTTGTTTCCACCTCAGCAGCAGAAAGGTAAGGCAGATCACTACCTCCACACATTTGGAGGCCTTTAAAAACTGAGTACCACCAGTTTTACACACCCAGTCTCTTTAATTCCATGCATTTTACAAGACAACATTTAATTTAGCGTTTGAGTTTGCTTAGCCATCATGTCCAAACCTCAGTTAAAAATACATGTATACAGTAGTTTATATTTGTATATTTTTGTTTGTGTTTTCATTTCATTAGTTGGCTAAATGTTATTTTTAAATCTGTGCACGGTGGCGCAGTTAGTAGAGCTACCACCTCCCAGTGAGCAGGTCCCTGGTTCAAATCCCGGTCCAGGGGCCTTTCTGGGTGGAGTTTGCATGTTCTCTCCGTGCATGCGTGGTTTTTCTCCAGGTGCTCCTGCTTCCCCCCACAGTCCAAAAACATGCATGTTAGGCTGATTGGTAACTCTAAATTGTCTCTAGGTGTGAGAGAGAGAGTGAATGGTTGTTTGTCTCGTTTGTCTCTGTGTGTCCCTGCGATGGACTGGAGACCTGTCCAGGGTGTCCCCCGCCTCTTGTACAGTGATGGCTGGACATGGGCACCAGTGACCCTCTACGACCCAGAAAGGAAGAAGCGGGTAAAGATAATGGATGGATATTTTAGATTATTGGTATTTCCTAAAATTAGAGGAAGTAGGCTGAAGTAAAAAAACGAAACATTTTAAAAACATTTTTCCCTAGCTGTCAGGTTGATTACTGGGTGATAAATAAAAGATGTTTAAAGCCAACAATCTCAGACTGTAAGTGTGAAACATTTGATGCGACTTCTTGGAGGAATGAGTGTCGCCCGCTGCCCTTGGAACTGGAGTTTTAAACAAGCATCTTATGATGAGAAATAATGGAGTTGTAGCTATTTTACAAATATGAAAAACATGAAACATTGTGCAAATATGAAAAGATGTTCCCCCTGAGTCTGTGTTGTCACAGACTCCCCTCAACAAATTTTAGCTCAATATCTGTAAAACTCACGGAGTTGGAGGCAGTTCTGTGCTGAGAAGGTTCATTGGTTGTGGCTGTCGTCTTGTAGACGTATGTCCTGAGATCACTTCCTGAACGTTTCATTAAAATCTTTCTGACATATTTTCAAAACAGACACACAAACACGTGTGTGCTTTAACATCAACTCTACCTCCCAAAAACAACGGAGCATTTTCTTCTCCGCTAGTGTTTGTGAACATGTGACAACATTTCCTTTGCCTTTCCTTCCAGATCATGAGCGCTCACGAGCACAACAAGTCACTGGACTTCCTGAACGGCACCCCGTGGTTTATCTACGAGTGCACCCTCGAGCTCGACACCAGCTACAGACGGATCAGCCTCTTCCTGCTCTACCTGTTCATCTTTGTAGTGGGCCTGCTGGAAAACCTGCTGGTGGTCTGGGTCAACTGGCGCAGGCGCCACTCAGCCAATGGGGTGCTCTTCTGCATCATTAACATGAGCCTGTCAGACCTGATGGTCATTGTGATCCTGCCCTTTTTCATGATGGAGGTGACCATAGACCGGGTCTGGCTGTGGGGGCGCTTTCTCTGTAAGGTCACCAGCCTCATCTACGTGGTCAACTTCTACAGCAGTTCTTTCTTCTTGGCCTTTATGACCTTGGAGCGCTACCTGTCCCTGACCAGACCGTCAGCCCCCACCCTCTTCCCTGTAGTGGGCCGGCGCCGCTGGGTGCTCTGCGGAGCCGTGTGGTTGTTCTCCCTGTTTCTGGCCCTGCTAGAGAATGTCCATGTGGATCTCCTGGAGTGGGACGAGCCAGGCTGCTACATGCTGCCTGAGTACAGCTACACTCAGTGGTTTGTGTCTGTGGCCTTCCTCTGCATGATCTTCCAGTTTCTTGGCCCGGCTGTGCTCATCATCACCTGCAACGTGCTCATTGCCCGAGCAGTTAAAACAGCACCGGATGTGGAGAGCCGGCGGGACGTGTGGCTGGTGCACGTGTACTCCTTGGTGTTCGTCGTGTGCTGGCTCCCCTACCACCTGATCATGTTGCTGATGATCATAGATGACCTTGACCACTTACTCTTCAGCTGCAACACTGTGGAAGTCCTCTACTTCTCTTACCCCATGGTGCAGGGCCTCTCCCTTGTCCACTGCATCGCCAACCCGCTTCTCTACAACTTCCTCAGCAAGAGCTTTCGGAACAACCTACTCAACACCATGATAAACTCCATACCCAGAGAGAGTGCCGCAGAGCAGGTGGAAGTTGGGCCTAAGGCCAACACTCCTAATGGAGGGGACCCAGGGAAACAACGCAAGTTAAGTAACGCGAGCACCAGCCAGTCCGATGTTGGATCGTAAAAAGCTTTGAACAGCATCATGACCGAGACTTTTCCTTTTATTTAGTTTAGTTTGAATACTTTGTTTCAAAACTGCAAATAAAACAATAAAACACAGTATAATTTTAAAAAATAGTAAAAAGAAACTAGTTTTATATATAAAGGCTGAACGTACTGATTAACAAAGTAAAAAAAAAAAAAACAGAAAAATTGGGGAGGCTAAAGCCGCAACTTATAAATGCCCACCCCGCTTACCGGTAAGTCTTATTTCACATAAACAAAATAAAGCTGTAAATAAAAATAGACTGAGGGTGGCATGGTGGTGAAGTGGTTAGAGCAGTTGCCTTTTGTCAAGAAGGTCCCAGGCTCACCTCCCGGCCTGGGGCCTTTCTGGGTGGAGATGTTCTTCCAGTGCAAAGTAGGTTTTCTGCTGGTATTCCCATTAGACTGACTGTTAACTCTAAACTTTCCTTAGGCGAGCGTGTGACTGCTTGTTTGTCTCCATGTGTCTCTGGTGAGGACATGTGACTTGTCCAGATACCCGGTCTCTCACATAACTGCTGGAAATAGTCATCTGCTCACTAGGACCTGGAAAGGAACAGTGGGTACAAGAAAATGGATGGATGGAAAATAAACTGTTGTTGAAGTCCATGTGAAAAACACTAGTCCAGTATCCACTGGGCTGTGACTGTTGCCACTAGTCCAGT